TGGCTGGGCCGTGGCAGTTCCTCCGTGCGCCGCCGCCGGGGGCTCCTGCGCTCTGCTTTCTCTCTCTTCTCCCCGCCAGGCGGAAAATCTGCTGCACCAGCTGCAGGAGAGTTTTCAAGCCCTGACTGAGAAGATAACGCTGAGAAATATCCTCCTCCTCTTCCTCCCCCGAAGGCGGGCTGCCGGCGCCGCCGGAGAGGCCTCCGTCCTGCCACGGCTGTATCGGGCCCGGGGCGCCCCCCGCGCCTCGGTGGTTTTAACATCGGGATGCGCTTTTTTTCCCTAAACATCAAATTAAGCTGTAACGACTGACGTTGTTAAACACCTACGATGTAGACAAGTGAATTGCCGCCCGTGCCTGTTTGTTTCTCCCTTTACCGGGAAGGAAATCCTAAAAATTATTTTACTGACAGTAGGATCAACTCCCGGTGAGCTAGTCTCTGTGCTGCAATTCTTGCTATCAAGTAAAATAAGCAACAAATTATGCATAAATATTCTGAAGGTACATTTTAAAAGCCACCATCTTCAAAAGCGCCACTTAAAATCAGTGTATCGCCGCACGGTGTTGGTGCCTCCCAAGCATGGGAAGGCCAGCCCTCAGAAATTAAGACTGCAGGGGCTCTGACCTTTTTTATTAGATGTGTTTACAGAAACTACCTCTGCTTTCTGAAACTGTCAGCTTCTTACCTTTTGCATTTTTTTTCTGAAACTCCATCTTTCAGGAAGGGGCTAATTCGTTGCAAGAGAGAATAACGTTTTAGCAGCACTCGTATTCTGGTCTTTTTTGGTTGACCTAAAATAGTTCCTCAGAAAAAAAAAATCTCTTACATGGAAAATAACTCCAGTTCACTCACAGGCATGCAGGAAGGTATTTGAAAATATTTAGAACTTGAATGCTTCTCTGTCGCAAGAGAAAGCGAGATTGGCTTGTAATGATACAACTTGGTGCATGCTTAATCTTGTGTTACGCATGAGTAAGTCAGAGGACTTAGTAAGTCAGGGACCAAGACACCTGGAAGAAAGCTGCTTGTTATTCTCATGGAAGAAAAAAACCTATTAAGTTACATTATTTGTAAATTATCTTTAACTTTTTACTGGAAGAAATGGGTGAGCGCATTGATGACCTTGAGAAGCACGTTGCTGACCTGATGACAGAGGCTGGGATAGAAAGCACCGATGAAGACTTGAAAGTAAAGAAACTTAATTTTTACTGTATTTTATGTATTTCCACTTAAGTCTTGAACTACGGATAGCACCTAGCATGCTTTATCATACCTGCATTTCCTTGGATTTTAAAGTACACCAAGATTATTTTTAATATTTAAAATCACCTTGGATTTCTTGTTGCCAAGAGCCAAACAACGCTACCACTTTTTCAAAAGAAAAATTGTAGCTTGATGCAGCTGTTCCAGCCGAGTGCCACGTACGAGGGGTAGCACAAAGCAATCCCAAATACGTGAACTGAGGCTGTACATTTGTAATAAAATGTGCATGGCTTAAAGCACGCCCACCCACCAGTCCCATCCCTCAGGTACGCTAACCCGGCTGACTGGGGGGCCTTGCTGACAGAAATTTATGTACATCTGCTTCTAAACCTGCTCCAGCTGCCCAGCATGGCTCAGAGCGCACCTCTCAAATACGTTTGGCCCCAACACAGCAGTTATTTGTTCTTGCAGCAGCAAGAGCAGGGGGGTGGAAAGCGCAAGGGTACCGTTAGTATTACTGTCAAACACTCTAGAATATAAAATCATGCTGCAGTTCAGGACTGCGCGCGAGACTTTGTACCGCTGTCTGTTGCAAATGTCACCCCCCCACCCTGATGGATGCCTTCCTTGGTGTTCTTTGGATTTACAAGACAGCGTTGCTTCTGTTTCTGTGGGTGATGTCTTCTTCCAGCTGTTACACGCTTTCCTGATTCAAACTGAGGCACTTCAATTATTTTTGTCATGTAGAGACTGCTTACCCAGTGAAAGACAGGAACATCTGTAAATATATTGATGTAATTTAGGCATCTATTCTTTCTGATGCCTCTTTCCTGATAAGCTATGTAATAACCTTCAGAAATACAGAAAGACAATCTGTAAAGATGTATTTAACTGTACAGAGATCTTCCTATTTTTATGCCGAATCATAGTCATGAATAATTAAACCACTGACCTACTTATTCACTGTTTCTTTGCAGCACTGAAATGAGGAAGTGAGCAAGATAGAGAGAATAACACCACCCTGGATCTGGGAGTTTACAATCAGTCACTACTCACAGAAAGCATCAGTGAAAAGAAACGCACTTGCATGATGTCACAATAGAATCGCAATTTTTTTTTCACTATTGCCCCAGAAAAAGAAGTGGAAAGCTGGGTTTATTCATCTAAACGGGACACCGTATTTCCTGTAAATGGGAAAGAACTATTAGTTTCAGGGGAAGCAAAACCACTATTTTGGAAAGAAAACTATATCCTATGTAGTGAACTTATCCAGTCACAAACCTTTTCAATGTATGAAAATGTATTTCATTTATTTTAACAGTATTAAAATTTGTCATATTTTGTTTGTTGCCTTTTTAACTTCTAGATTTCCTTCTACGACCAGGTGACCCACCTGGTAGATGAGGGAAAGGCTGTGGATGTTGTCTACCTGGACTTCAGCAAAGCCTTCGACACAGTCTCCCAATAGCATTCTCCTGGAGAAGCTGGCAGTTCATGGCCTAGATGGATGTACTCTTCGCTGGGTTAAAAACTGGCTGGATGGCCGAGCCCAGAGAGTCGTGGTGAATGGAGCTAAATCCAGTTGGCGGCCGGTCACAAGCGGTGTCCCTCAGGGCTCAGTTCTAGGGCCAGTCTTGTTTAATATCTTTATCAATGACCTGGATGAGGGGATTGAGTGTGCCCTCAGTAAATTTGCAGATGACACCAAACTGGGTGGCAGTGTTGATCTGCTTGAGGGGAGGAGGGCTCTGCAGAGGGACCTGGACAGGCTGGATCAATGGGGCGAGGCCAACTGTATGAGGTTCAATAAGGCCAAGTGCCGGGTCCTGCACTTTGGTCACAACAACCCCATGCAGCACTACAGGCTCGGGGAAGAGTGGCTGGAAAGCTGCCTGGTGGAAAAGGACCTGGGGGTACTGGTTGACAGCCGGCTGAATATGAGCCAGCAGTGTGCCCAGGTGGCCAAGAAGGCCAATGGCATCCTGGCCTGTATCAGGAATAGTGTGACCAGCAGGACAAGGGAAGTCATCGTGCCCCTGTACTCGGTGCTGGTGAGGCCGCACCTTTTTTTTTTCGGCTGAGGGAACTGGGGTTGTTTAGTCTGGAGAAGAGGAGGCTGAGGGGAGACCTTATTGCCCTCTACAACTACCTGAAAGGAGGCTGTAGTGAGGTGGGGGTTGGCCTCTTCTCCCTGGTAACAGATGATAGGACGAGGGGGAATGGTTTGAAGCTGCGCCAGGGCAGGTTAAGGCTAGACATTAGGAAAAACTTCTTCACCAAAAGGGTTGTCAGGCTCTGGAATGGGCTGCCCAGGGAGGTGGTTGAGTCCCCATCCCTGGAAGTATTTAAAGGAAAGATAGATGAGGTGCTTAGGGACATGGGTTAGTGGTGGGATGTCAGGGTTAGGTTAAAGTTTGGACTTGATTTAAAGGAAAGATAGATGAGGTGCTTAGGGACATGGTTTAGTGGTGGGATGGCAGGGTTAGGTTAAAGGTTGGACTCGATGATCTCAAAGGTCTTTTCCAACCAAAGTGATTCTATGATTCTAACTTAGAATCACAAGATCCTCCTATGACAAAACTTTTCTGTTTGCAGGTGCTGCTTCAATGCTCCTTTAAATGTTCTGCATTACAGAACGCACCTTACCTTATTTGATGTTATTACAAAGGTGCCTTTGCAAAACTTCCTAGGTCCAGTGAACATGAACTGTTCTGCACTGAAAGAAATGGCAGCGTTTGCAGAGATTACAGCTGTTTGGTTCTTAACTCCTTCCACAAACCCACCGAAAGCTGCGCACACCTGTGCAGATACCATCCAGGTACGCATACGCTGCCAATTTCAGTTCTTTAGCATCAGCCATGTTGATGAAAGAGCCTAAGGACTTCGAGATAGATAGGAATTCCAGTTACCAAACAGGGCCTGAACAAGACGTGGCGGAGCCAGACAACACAGGACATCTGCACTAACTTTAAGGTTCTTGTACACCAGAACACTGGCACTCTTGGCAGGGAAAATTTTGGTTGAAACTTAAAAGGGAACCTCTCACAACAAATGCAGACATCTTAGCATTACTAGGTAAACAGAATACCTCAGCTCGTGAAGGATAAATACACTTTTTAAAAACTTCAGCAGGTGTTAATACTTACATCTTACAGATTCTTCATTAATATCAAGCAATCATTCTAATCAATGCTTTAATCAGTGCCGATTTGCAAGCAACGTCAAACTGGGGGGAGAGGTTGCTATGCTAGAGGACAGGCAGGAGAAACGGGCCAACAGGAACCTCATGAAGTTGAAAGGCAAGTGCCAAGCCTCGCCTCTAGAACCGGGTAAAGGCTTATGCTGCGGTGCAGTTGTTGAGGGGCTGGCTGGCACACAGCTTTGCAGGAAAGGAGCGGGGTCTGGCAGGCAAGTTGGAGGTGCTCTGCCAGGGTGCCCTGGCAACAAAAGGCTGCAGCCACATACTGGCACCAGTAGAGCCAGCAGCTCATTTCCCTCCACTCATCTCCCGTGAGACCACACCCAGAGTACTGTGTCAATTTTGGGGCTCCCCAGTTCAAGAAATATATTGTTATGAGGCAGTTACAGGGAGAGCCACCGAGATATGGTGGAGTGCAAAGCACCTGAGGGTTTGAGAGTATTCAGCTAGTCCAGCCTGAAGACAAGACTACAGCTTGCTTTCTGGCTACAGCTACCCCATGGTCGGGCATGGGGAACAGTCAGACTCTTGATGGAGGCATTTTAGATGAGAGAGTTAATAAAAACAAGCTGGAACACAGGGAATTCCAGCTAGATGCAAGGAATGCTTTTTTCAACTATGAGGGTGCCCAAGCAGCAGAACAGGCTTTCCAGAAAGGATGAGCACTCTCCATCCTTAGAGATACTCAACACTGGACAGTCCTGGGCAACCTGATGAAGTGGGACCTGCTTCGGGAGGTTGGACTAGACCGCCAGTAGTCCCTTCCAACATAAATGATTCCATAATTAATAACCACTGTAAATCAAATTAATTTAATTTTCTTGACTCATTCCAAATCCTCTAAAACACACAGATGATAAAAAAACATATTTCACTTTGTCTTGTGACAAACTAGACCAAAAATACAGGTATCTCCTTTCTGCTTGTTTTTTCTTAATCCTATAAATATACATGTGTCTCAAATTCTCAAATTTAATTAGCTAAAGAAAAGTAAGGTAAACTCATTTTATTCTTTTAAAAAAGCCACAGTATAGTTTTCCCACATATTTGTGTAACAAAAGCAAATAAAAACAATTTAAATGTTTTTCTGCTAACAGGCTTTTTGTGTACAAAAATACATCATACCGAAAGGACAACACAGAGTAAAGTCTTTAAAAAATAAAAATTAAAAAAAATTCCAAAATTCGTCTACAGTACTACTGCCATTGGGCAGTTCCAGGCTTTACGTCTTTTATTTTTCCCAGTGGAATTCAAATATTTTAAATAAATAAAAATATGCTCAAATTTGAAGGATTTGTAGATTTTTTCATTTAATATATATATGTACACACACACACAAATAAATTTAAGTGGATGTAAGGTTAAAAAAAAAAAGGCAGAGCTAAAGAAATGTCAGTATCTGTATTTAGTGGAATAATCTTTCGGTGATACTACCAAACCTCGACCTTTGCGGGCTCCTCTATAAACGGTTTCTATAATGTCAATCATCTCTTGCTTATCTTCCATTGCCCAGTTGATCTTGTTGTTATTACCTGTACCTAAATCAATCATGATGTGTTTGTTCCTTTAAAGGGACAGAAGAAAAAAAAAAAAAAAAAAAAAAAAAAAAAAAAAAGACAGACAAGTTAATATGATATTATAATTCAGAAAGAAACTTTATATTCCCCACAAGAATGCTTTGTAGGATTCAAAAGAAGCCCCTATAACATACACAGGCTTGCAAAGTAAGCCTCAAAGAAAGAGTATCCACTCCTGTCACTCAAGTTGACATTTTACTGCCTATTTCTAAAGCTAGAGCAAAGACTGCAAACATGCCCCCAAGATTGCTACCCAGTGCAATTATTCTTCAGCATATTCCTCATTGTCTATATTTCTTTCCCACTACTGCCTAACACCAGAGTTCCACGCTTGTCAGTAGCACATTTTATCTTGCCAGTGTAGACACCTTATCTCCAAAAAAAGCTTAATATTTTGGGTATATCTTTAAAGCAAGTTTGACCAACTTGACTGCCATATTACTGCAGTATTCTATACAGGGAGTTTCAGATTTGAAACTAAAAACAGTGCATAAGAAAACCAGTTTTCACTAATTTTTACTCTATTATCAAAACACTGCTAACTGGAAAACAAGCCATTTTCCTATTTATCAGTTTACTCTTTTGTAGACCAATGAAAATATAAGCATCAGTATGCTGATACGCATTTAGAAATGATCTATTGAGACACTGTATTTGACACACAAAAAATTTAACTGAGTTACATTTTAGAACCATCATGTACCTGAAGAAAAACATGACAGTACAGGGATCGTACAACTCATACATCTTGTTGAAGTCTGGTACTTCCGTGATATCCACAAGATAAATAACAGCAAAGTTTTTTACCTAAACAGAAGAAAACAGGAAATACAAAAGCAATACATATTATGAAGCCTTTGATTATTTGTATTACAGGTTAAAAGGCATAAGCTTTCATTATTGCAACATTTATTTTCCAAAATATTGTCATAAAATCACAGTAAATAGTCTTGCCATTATTTTTAACTACAACAACCAATTAACATGGAAAATATTTTTAAATATAGCCAAGATGCTCATTTCACATCCAGTATCAATAGTAAAGATACTATGCTAAATCAACATCCAGAGAAACAAATGCCCTTTGTGTACAGTTGAGACTTCACAGTGACATGGACAGCTCCAAACAAGTAGAGTAATTGCTTTGTGCAAGCCAAGTTGACACATGTTGCCTCTGTCATCAGCTGCTTATAGACTTCGGAAAATTAATGATCTAAAATGCCTTGGTGCCTGCCTCCAAGCATTTTGTCCCCTCTAAACCATCTAATTTGTTTAACAAGGCTCATTAAATGAAAATAAAACTGATATTTTAATAATAAAACCTGATAGCTTTTTTGAGAGGTGTAAAGCTAAAACAGCTTAAAAATTTAATTGGTAATAAAAAAAAAAAAGACCTTGATGAGAAGCTATTCTCTGGGCAGTTCTGGTAAAATAGGCTTTCACTTGCAGAATTACTGAATTAAATACAAAAAAATCCTTCCCTTTTAATGTCATAGTTAATGTCTTCATTCCAGAAAGAAAAACACATCACATTTTGTTTCCGAGATGTAGCATATTTAACCTTAAGTGGAATTAGGGGAAGTTTTAGCTACTAAACTTAGCTGGTACGTGTACAGTAGAAATTAACACACACACACATTAAGTATGTAAGTAGGCATGTAAATTACATAAACCTTTAACTGTGAGGTATATTATCAAATACTTATGCATTATACCACCAACACACAACCTTGCCCACCCCCCTTACTTACATACAAATACAATTTTATTCCTTCCCATTTGACTACACAAAATTACCAGTCTGAGGTAACACATGTGGCCTAAGATTTATGACAAAATTACTGTTTGTCACAGTTCTTCCCACTTGTTAATTTTGTTATCAAACATCTAGAAATGCTTCAATGAGTATAATTTTTGCTTGATATAAAGATGCTTTATTTTAGACCACAAAACAGGATTAAGCTGTATCAGAAAAATACTATCTATGGTGTACCCCGTACTGAAATATCCTAGCAGGCACTTTAATTGAGAAAGTATGGAGATGTTTGTTTACAAAAAAACAGAAGCACACAGTAAATAAATGGACTTCTGCTTCAAGACAGTTTCTAATTTGTAAGAAATCATCACACTTCAAAGATGTAGTAGCAAAGAAAGTAAAATCTATTCTGGAGTGAAACAACATTGAAATAGTTTTTACTGTGCTTTTATGGAGCCAGTTATAATCCTAGACTGTGTCAATAATCTAATGGAAACATCCCATTTAAGCCATGTTCCAAAACAGACAAGAGGAAAGCCTTGAAAATCCAAGTTAGCCACAATATCAAACCCTAACGCCCTCTGAAGTGATCATTCATGCCCATTTCAATTCTATATGAAAGAATTCCAAGAAACTTAATGGGATGTTCAGAGTCAACAATTTAACTAAGAAGTGACTGAAGTTACTCCCTGGTTAGCCTGAGGAAGCAAAAGATGGTTGGTTGTTTTAAAAAAACAAAAAACAAAAAAACAACCCAAAACAACAACACCCCCCCAAAAAAAAAACCTGAAGAGCCTTTTTAATTTTCTCCTATAATTTCTTCTTCCATCCTGCAGACATTTTTAGAATCTGCAGCACAGCTTCACCATGTGGGATAACTTCTACAACACATTCAGCAATTCTGACAGACTAAGCATAATCTTTCAACAAGTACTTAATTTGGAGATTAGAAAATTATTTTAAGTTAAACCAAGCATTAATACAACATTGTTAGGGCCTGCAGTTAGTTTTACATTATATACATTTAATTTAGTTGACCTGTTGGAAGAATGAGAAACGCTCGTCACTAGCAACAACCGTCAGCAGCAAAGATTTTGTAAAAGAGAACCATAGTTAATGAATGCATTAGCTTATCTTCTGAAACTTAAGATACTATTCAAGTCTTAAACAAGTTATATATATCTTACTCAAAAGGACTGGATCATTCAAATGACCTCAGCACAGCATATATGCAAGTTATCACCACAATCCAAGTATCTCAGGCATTAACTGAATCTTCCTTCTTCTCCATGAGAATAAAAGCACAGCTACCTACTTTTATAGAAGTGAAACTGATGACAGTTACCTGCTTAAAAGCTTGTAGGAGGTCTAAAGCAGACCTCAAAGCTAGATACAGACTCTCAAATTTGAATTCAGAACTTTAAAACTGGCTCTGTTCTTTCAGCCTGGCTTCCTTAATTTCAAATCTGACACAATTACCACTCCAAAACCATTGAATAAGGATGAGTTTTGTTCAGTCTGGACACTGGCTGCCAAGACTGCCCTTGACATGGGCCTTGTATGCACACTGCAATACGTGTAGCAGCAGAAGGCTGGGGTTCAGTCCTAAGAATGAACTGATAAAGACATGGGTAAGAGGCTAAATGTGGAAAGGGTGATGCAGAAGCACTGCAGTGGCCATAACGTCTACCGGTCAGTGGCTGTGCCAGACTGGGCAGGCTTGTCACCAGGAGGCATTTTATTTCAACACAAGACAAGCCCTGCAGAACTACTCAAATGTCTCTCTCTGCACAGCATTGACCAATTTTACAGCCTGAAGAAGCACTTACTGTCTCAAACGTAATATTGGAGCCAAGATACAGCAGTACAGAGCCAGCTTCACACACAGACGGCTCCAATTCATAAAGCTTTAGTTTAGGCTTCATTTTAAGCAAAAACAATTGAAGTATTTCTGGAGTCAAGCTACTACAGATACAGGAGTTGATCTATACTTCTAAGTCTGTGGAGATAAACCAAAGCTTAACCTATCCCTAACCCACTGGGACGTGAATTCATCCCCCAGATAGAGCTGTCAGTTCAAAAACTACATTCCTATATAAAAAAAAAGCTTTGCTGTCATTTCAGGGCAGTGGTTGCTGAGAAGTTTTGACTTTTACCTTTTGAGTTATAACTGGGGATACAGTATGGAGACCTCAGAACAAGTATTAAATACAACTCTGAGCAAGCAACTACACTAAATAAAAGCAGTTGCAGTTGTAACAATTGAAACTATACTGAGGTAGTTAATGTAAAGCAAAATTTTACTGTCCAGACAATAGGCAAAAAACCTTGTGCTATTTCAGAAGGGGAACACATAATAACACATTTATTCTGAAAGTAACTTAACATACACTAAAATATAGTAAAGTTGTTGCAGTTGAGTCATCTGCTTTCTGGGGAAAAAAAAAAAAAAACAACCAACCAAAAAAACCCCAAACCACCCTCTAGTGATAGACCTCCTTTTGGACAACTCCACACTTGTTCAACACCTGAAGGTAAAAACATTTTCAGCAGAAAAACAAGACGGATATTAACTGATGTATTTATGACACTCTGACTTCCTTTATCCATCTTTCAATTCAAAACTTTCTCTGTTTTACCAGGTCATTGTAGCTGCTGTCCATGGGGACAGAACAGAGTAGAAAACTAAAAGTCAAACAGCAGCATGGATTAAAATTTTTATCATTTACTTTCATGGGTTGGGCTTCAATTTTGGAATTTTGGGTTTGGTTTTTTGTTTTTTTTTTTAATCTTAATTACTGTAGCTTCACAGATTAGTCTATATTAACATGCATATACAAACCCCAAAAGTGCATTACTGCCTAGCCGCAGTAACAGGCTATTTTAATACTTCACAGAACTGTATCTGGTTGGGTGGACTACTATTAAATCTTTAAATGGAACTGCTCAAGACTATAAAGCAGAAGAATCTATAGGACCCTTAACATCAGATACAGATTCTGTATCCTATCTTGATCCACACACTTAGCTGGTAAATAGGAAGCACAAATGTAGGAAAAATCATATGCCAGATGAAATAAGTTTCATTTGTCCTCCAAAGTTCTCCCTCCTAACTTTCTTGATTAACAATATCATTCCAAAAAAAAATAGTAGTGCAAAATGAGATTGCCACAGCAATATGACTAGGAAGAATGGCAATAATCATGAAGTTTCTTTAAATTTCTGTTAGGGGTAAGTAATACTCCTCCTTTTCTTTTATTTTTGCTTTGGTTAAGAATTCAGCTCCCTTTAAGAAGCAAATCTCCCAGCCACATGTTACCTTATGGCCCAAAGTGCATACAGCCAATGCCTTAGGAAATCATGATCTAAGATTCCATCTTCTCATCTTCCTAATCAGTTTCTAGACAATGTTTTTTATGTCTAGGTGTCTTTATGGATAAGGAAATCACAGGAAAAAAAATACCAGAACTGAGACTAGCTTTTGCAGCAAACCTTTCAAGTTGAAGGCAGCCAGCAGACTTGCATTACTGAACTGAAAGAGGCTGCAAATACAGTAAGTACAAGCTTCAAAGTCTGTACTGTCAATATTTATTTGATTTTTTTTCTTGCTCAGTATGCTGTAAGTTTAGGTGATAAATTTATAGGGGAGAAGAGAAAGACATTATACTGCTGAGAGCAATCCGTACAGCTAACAATTCAGAAAACTATAGGCATGAATAAATGGATTAGCTTTCCTCAACTTTAATTACAAACACCAGTAATGATACTAGCAGTATGTTTTTTATAGGTCCCCCTTTCTCTTCTCTCACTTTTCACATAACCTTAACAGAAAGGCAGATGCAGAACTGTTTAAGCAAAAGCCACAGCTATTCACACTTCTAATTACTGTTAAATAAATGCAAAACATTTGAACAATCTTCCCTAAATCCACATTGACCCAATACAACATGCTGCTTAAACTGGACTGGTTTCACAAGAGGTTATCTTAATTTACAGTATTCAGTCCTAGATAAATCACGATTTAAAAGTATTTCTTTAAAAAAGGGTATTAAAAGTGATTTAGCAGCCAAAGCCCTGTATTTCAGGGGATGGTTTTTTACAATTGTGAGCCTCTTTAAAAAAAAAAAAAAGAAGTGTATTTTTAAAAAAGGTGTTCCAGAGGAATTTTATGAAACGCAAGGTCTTAGATGTTTAGTTGAAACACTGACAAAGCAAAAATCTAACATCTTAAAATAATAATTTGTTTTGAAACTCAGTGAAACTTTGATTACTTTTCATGTAACACTGGGGGGGGGGAGGGGGGAAACAGTCAACTGTAAGTGGAGTATGTTTCAGTGAAAATAATCTGCTTTGTATTTTCATATAGCATCACAGTTTCTTTTTCCTCCCCCAAAAGGATTCAAACAAAAAAAATCCTGTTTTCCTATTATAAAGTACAGATAAATACTACTGCTACCCAAAAATACGCTGCAGACTAAAATAATATTGCACCATGGTATCAAATGTAAAATATGGCTACATTTTCTTCAAATGTAGTATGCAATCACAGCATTTAACATTCTGTATTATTCTCTAGTATAAACAACACCTGTACAATTGGAACTTTTACTCACTCTTTAAAACAGCAGAGATCCAAACATGGCTTGTAAGCAAGAGGATGAGGAAGGATCTCCCCCTTTAATCTGCCATTTCTGCAGAGGGAGATTTTTAAATAAGAAGTTACATTGTTCTTTCTTTCCCCAGTCACCCCTAACTGCCAATACGTCTGCCAAATTGCCAAGCGTCCTGCCAAAAGTGGTTACTAACAGTATCTGAGCATAAGACGCTCCCACCAGGTTAAACACAAAATAGCTACATTAAACCATGTCACAATTATTTACTGTATTTTATTATATCTTAACATTTGGCTATAGGCATAGATCTTTCATTGTAGGGATTTTAGAGACAGAAATTAATTTATTTAAAGATAACATTAAAAGAGAAAGGAACACACCAAGAAAAGAACTCCGTATCAAGTTACACAGTATGCACGCAATTTTACATGAAGATAATTGACTCCTTTTCACCCCAAGTTACCATTTGTGGTTCAGATTTTTTTGCTTCATTTTCTATGTGGTTCAGTTAAAGAAGAGCGATCAGTTTTCTACATTTATCACTACGCAAAACCTTTAACAAATACATGAAAAATTATAGCTGATTGTATATGTTAACAGTCTAATTTTTCTTCAGTATCTATCTTTAAGGGAGTGACCAGCTGTCAGCAGGTATTCAGTTTCCATCTGAAAACAGCTTCAGAGTCTGGCTCCTAAAATTTAATTCAGGACATGCAACTCAATGGAATGCCATCTATCTTCCCAAAGAATATGACTGATATATTCACCAACACTGTCCCGTACATTTTAAGATCTTACTATTTTTAAGGCTGAAAGCTAAAGTAACTTTTCAAATGGCTCAAATGGAAATCTGAAGCTACTGTACATTCTGATTGCAAAGTGACAGTGCTGCATTACCTAGAGCCACAGCAGTCCTACTACCATGCACTTATTTCTGGTTGAATGCTGACCTTCATTAAGTGACAGATTATTATCAAGCAGCGATTTTGACTTCAGAACTTGCAATACTCTTTTCACCCCGTTAAATACTACAAACATCAGGATAGTCGATGGCCTTAGGAGACACTCATGAAAGCAAACCAAACAGCTTTCTTGCAGCCTCATAAAGCAGGAACACCTCTCCAGAAACCGAGTTATAACCCGCCTTAGGCTTCACACAAGCCGTGCGAAACACTGAGCGCAGAAAGCGACCATCCCACGCCACAACTCCAGTTTACCTTCTCAGCAATGCTGTATAAGACTTCATCCATCTTCATGCAGGTCGGGTCCCAGTCGTGCCCAAAGCGGATGACCACGACTCGGTCCTCTTCCGACAGGATGGCCTGGTCCAC